CATCCAGGGCATTCTTAACGAAATGCATTTGCGTTTTTTGGACAGGCGAAAAAAGGGGCGGCTTTTAAGGCGTCAGTTTGTGGGCGCTGAGTCTATTTATCATGCGACACAAAAGAGCGCCAGAGGCTAAATAATAAACATGGCGGCAATGTAGCGGCTTAAAATTTCCACCGACGGCATCAACAACCTTAATAGGGCGTAAGAGATTACACTGTGTGGAAAATTACATCGTTACTAGACGCGAAAAGGTAAAAGAGAGCAGGGAAATTATGTTAAAAGAGCCCTTTTAAGGAGACGGAACGACCGACTGGGCGCAGATCCGCGTCCAGAATATTTGCCCATGGTCTAATTAAATCCCGGTAATTACTGTGGGATTCGGCGCTTTAATTGGGCCACTGAAGAGTTTCTTTGCCCAAGCAATTAGTAAGAAAAATGCCCCAAATTAATCCAAAAACTATGATTGTTCCAATGTTCATTTTGCTGCATGACACCAATTCATTGTTTAAAGGGGCCCCATTTTGGTGGTTGTGAACGATACAGTTTAAGCCGCAATGTACCGGGCAAAAACCGAATTCGGTGTAATTGTGACACACTGCCGCTCTCTAGTTTCGATGGGCTTGTTCGAGAGCCTCTATTCTAGTGTGTGAAAATTGCATGTTTTATGGGGCCCAGCCATCCAATGATTTACGGATGTTAATTAATTAATTATTACGGGCCTGATGGTCGGCATCCGGGAAAAGCAATTTCGATTTCGGCACAAGGATGGGTATGCATTCGTTGATGCACAAGTAGGGGGATGAAGCGGAAGCATTCAACCCTCAGGTTCTGTGTGTGAATTCTTCACAATGATTTAATTTCATTAGAATGGCTAATTGTTGTTTTACGTTAGTCGTTGTTCAATACGAAGATGATCAAATGTCTAGATTTATTGTCTATGCTTACGAATTTGTTGGTTGGAATTAAGTCGCTAGAATGCTGATTTTTGCGTCCATTTATACAAAAAACTCTTTTGCTTACGTGTGTTGAATCCGCCTTAAATCGATTGATTGGTTGAATTTCAACGATTCGTCAAGACTGATGTTGCAGGGTTCGCTTCATACGAGCCTTCATTCGAGCCAGCGGTTGAAAGTCAATTTTCAAAAGTTCCTTACGTAGAAACAAGAGCAGTTTGAACGGTGATTTTTGCCTCATTTTAAAGGAAAAACTAAGTTCCCTTCGTGCTGTGAATTTCATTTAAATCGTCCAGTTTTCTGAATTTAAACGAGACTTCAAAACGAATGTTGGAAGGTTTGCGTCATTCACTTATTTTCAAAGCCAATTTTCAAAAATTTGCTATGTGGAAAGAAGAGCAGTTTGAACGTTGATTTTTGCGTCATTTTATTGGAAAAACTATGTTTTCTACATGCTATGAATTTGCTTTAATTCCTCCAGTTTGATGAATTTACATGATACTTTAAGACTGATGTTGCAAGGTTTCCGACATTCGACTTCGGTTCAAAGTCAATTTTCAAAAATTCGTTACGTAGAAACAAGAGCATTCTGAACGGTTGGTTTGGCCGCATTTTATAGCAAAAACTAAGCTCCCTTCGTGCTGTGAATTTCATTAAAATCGTCCAGTTTTCTGAATTTAAACGAGACTTTAAAACGAATGTTGCAAGGTTTGCGTCATTCACTTCGGTTCAGTCAATTTTCAAAAATTCGCCATGTAGAAACAAAAGCAGTTTGAACGTTGATTTTTGTGTCATTTTATAGGAAAAACTATGTTTTCTACATGCTATGAATTTGCTTTAATTCCTCCAGTTTGATGAATTTAAATGATACTTTAAGACTGATGT